GTTTTGTTGAGCAGGACACGGCCCAGGGGTGAGAGGAGCTCACATCGGCCCTGGGTGCAGGCAGCAGTGTCTGTTTGGGTGTAACCTGGGTGTTTGGGGCACGTCGGTGCTGGTGGAGTGTGCCCAAGCTGGGGGGCTGTGGCACAGCCCCAGGATGCAGCTGAGGGACGAGGAGGTGGCAGTCCCCGAATCCAACACCTCTCCTGGCCAAGGAGGGAATTTGGGGAAGAGCAATGGAGCAGTGCCAGGGGACATGGCGATGGGATGGCCCCGAATGCTCTGGGTGCCCCCGCATTGCCAGGGGGCGATTGCCTTGGAGGCCAGGAGGGGGATTTGCAGCTTTTCCTGCTTTTCCAGCATCCCACAGAGGCTGGGGCCGCCCCGAGAGCTCGGAGGCAGCAGCTGCTCGCCAGGGCACTTCCCTGAGGAGTGAGGAAGAGGAGGAGGCGGGGAAGGGCGGGTGCGGGCGCTGGGCGCTGGAGGAGGATGGCGGGCCGGAGGAGGAAGGCTGGGCGGGCGCGGGACGAGGCAGCACGGAGGCACAGAGACGGGAGGAGAGATTTTATTGAGGCCGGCTCGGGGGCGAGGAGCCCGGAGCGCGGCCGGGGGGAGTCAGGGGACGGCCATGGGCGAGGGGCAGCGAGCGCTGGTCCCGCCGGGCTCAGTTCTGGGCGATGACCTGGAAGGGAGAAAGGGCCGGGCTGAGCCGCGCGGGGCCGGGGCCGGCGCAGCGCTGGCCCGAGAGCGCCGGGGCCGAGCCCGGCCCGGCCCGGCCCGGCCCGGCGCGGCCCTGTGCAGGGACAAGCATTGCACACACACATTGTGTCCTATCCAACTCCAGATGTTCCGCAGTTCTTCGTTCCCAGTGCGTCTCTTCCAGCTCAGGACTTCCATGATTCCACGAGTCTGGACATCAGGGAGCACTTGGACAACACTCCTGGATTTTGGGGATCTTTGGGGTTGTCCTTTGCAGAACCAACAGGTGACTATATCATCCTTGCAGGTCCCTTCCAGCTCTGGTTAATCCACGATCCGAGAGGTCAGGGACATTGTTCACAACAGCCTTGAACATTGGGGTTTTGTCAGCAGTGGCCGTTTGGGGTTGTCCTGGGTCAGGGATCCTTTTGACAACAGTCTTGAACACTGGGGTTTGTCGCAGTGGCCGTTTGGGGTGGTCCTGCACGGGCCAGGAGCTGCCTCGATGACCCCGGTGGGTCCCTGCCCGCGCTGGATCCTCACGGCCCCCCAGCCCTGTGGCCTGGCCGGGTTCCTGGAGAGCTTTTGGGGGTTTTGGGGGTTCCGGGGCGCGCAGCGGATGCTGCCTGGCCTCGCCTCCAACTTCCTCCATCAAAACCCTCCAACGGCAGCAGCGGGGCCGCGGGCGGGGCCGTGCCAGGGCCATGGCCGAGGGCAGGAGCGGCGGCGCCGGGCTCTTCGCCAGGCAGGTCCAGAAGCACTTCAGCCGTGCCCAGGAGAAGGTACGGAGGTGCCACCCGCCCCCCATCCCAGCTTTGACTGGATGTGTCCTCCTTTCCCACCGCGGTGCTCCCGGGGTGGCCCGAAGGCACCGCTCAGCACCTTTGGGTGCTCCGAGGGTGGGAGTTTGGGGTTTTGGGTCGCTGCCATCGTTGCTCCAAGGCTTTGGAGGATGGCACCTCCCAGAGATCCCCAAGATACTTTGGCTTCTCTAATTGGTGGGGGGTTCTCCACCCAAAGCGCCTTGCAGGGGGTATGGGGGGCTTTGGGTGGTGGCACAGGGTCCCTGGGCTGGCTGGCACCGAGGGGGCCCAGCAGGGCCCAGCGTGGCTGGTGGTCCCAGGAGTGCTGGTGAGACGGGAGCACAGGAAGCGAGGGGGAAGGGCTGCGGAAGCGGCACGAGCGGGGCAATTCTCAGCTGCTTTGGGGACTTTGGGGGGGCCTCTTTCCTTTCCTCAGCCCCTAAAAGTAGCTGTGACTCCCCTTTTGGGGGTGACACAAAGACCCCTTTCAAACCCTCGCCCTCCTGGGTTTCCTGGCTGGGGCTCCATGCTAAATTTGGCTTTCCCACGGCTCAATCATCCCGGGCCAGGCTCTGGCTGCTTCCTGCACGCTGCAAATCTCCCTCCCAGCCGGTCCTGGCCTCTTCCCAGGGGGCCCAGCCTCTTCCTGGACATCCCAAATCTCCCTCTGACCCAGCCCCAGCCTCTTCCTGGACATCCCAAATCTCCCTCTGACCCAGCCCCAGCCTCTTCCTGGACATCCCAAATCTCCCTCTGACCCAGCCCCAGCCTCTTCCTGGACCCCAGAGCTCCCCGCTCCCAGCCCTGGCCCCTTCCTGTGGGGGTCAAGCTGTTTGTGGACACCCTAAAAGTCCCTCCTGCCTGGCCCAGGCTCTTCCTGGGGGGTCCCACCTCTTCCTGGGCACCTCGAATTTCCCCTCATCTGATTTTCCAGAGGGTCACCCTCTTCCTGGGCATCCCAAAACTCCTTCATGCCCGGCCCCAGCCTTTCCCCAGGGGAGCTCAATCTCTTCCTGGACAGCCCAAATCTCCCCACCCAGCTCAGCCTCTCAATTCTCCTTCAGCCTCAGACCCTCCTCATCCTCCTCACGGCATCCCCTGTGCCCCACAGCCAGGGGCTCGGGGTGTTTTGGGGTGCACAGCACCCCAAAGGGGTTTAGGGTGGGAGGTAGATTAGGGTGGGAGGTAGATTAGGGTGGGAGGTAGATTGGCACCCAAAAATTCACTGTTTTTCCTGAAAGAAATAAAAGCACTGAGGGACGCAGTGAAATTTTGCATTTCCACATAAATCCTGCCCCTCCTGATCCTCGGCAGCCCCTCAGAGGGGTTTTGGGGGGCACAGCCCGGTGACCTCGGGGTGTGGCGGGGGTCTCTTGCCCTCTCTCTCCATCACAGGTTTTGCAAAAATTGGGCAAAACCGTGGAAACCAAAGACGAGCAGTTCGAGCAGAGCGCCTACAACTTCCAGCTGCAGCAGGTGACAGGGGACACCGGGGACACGGGGGACACCGGGGACACCCCGACCCACCCCGGGGGTCCCTGTCCCCCCAGCCCCGCGGACAGCCCTGACCCCCGCCTCTGTTTTGCAGAACGAGGGTCACAAACTCTACAAGGAGCTCAAGGGGTTCGTGGGAGCCGTGAGAGGTGCGGAGCCGAGCCCGAACGTCCCAGGGAAAGCCGGAGCGGGCAGGGACTCGGGGTGGGGCCGGGATAATAAATAAGGAATAGCGGAGGAAAGAAATCGGGCTGCAATAAATAGATTATTAATTAAAATCAGTGTTAAATTAAAAGAAAGAATAAATAAAAACAATATTGAGGATAAATAGATCGTAACTACGAATGGATAATAAAGAGAAAATAGCTAATAAAAATACTATGCATAATATATTATATAGATAATATATTATATAGATAATATATTATAGATGAGATATATATTATATATCTTACATATATGACATATGCAATACATATTTTTATATCTCATTATTTATTAAATGCATATGGGATAATAAAGAGATCAAAATGATAGAGAGATAAAAATAATAGAGACATAATGAAGATATAAAAATAATAGATATTAAAATATATTAGAGATAAAATAATAATATAAATACTGTATGTGGGATAATAGATAATAAATATATATGGGAGATATATTATATATAAGATATTAAATAGAAAACCAGATAATACATATGTTATCTATCGGATATATATGTTATATATGGGATAACAGAGACAATAAATAATTTAAAATAACACACCTGGGCTAATAAACAACAATGGACAGCAGTGAATAAATAAATAACGATCAGGAATAAATGATAATGATGATAATTATGATAATGACAGTGATAATGAATAATAATGATAATGATAATGATGATGATGGTGATAATGATGTTGATAATGATAATGATAATGATAATGTTAATCGATGACAATGATGATAATGACAGTGATAATGAATAATAATGATAATGATAATGATGATGATGGTGATAATGATGTTGATAATGATAATGATAATGATAATGATGATAATGATGATAACGATGATGATAATGATGGTGATAATGATAATGATGTTGATAATGATAATGAAGTTGATAATGATGGTGGTAATGATAATGTTAATGATTGATAATGATAATGATGGGGTGTCTGTGCCCCCAGTGATGCACGAGAGCTCCCGCAGAGTGGCCGAGACGCTGCAGGAGATTTACAGCCCCGAGTGGGACGGGCACGAGGAGCTCCGGGCCATCGCCGAGGTGAGCCCCGGATGTCCCCAAGGGTCCCCTCGAAGCCTGGGGGGGTTGGGGGGTCCCGAGGGTCACTGCTGTCGCCGTCCCTGTTCCCCCAGAGCAATGACCTCCTGTGGGATGACTACGAGGCCAAGCTGGTCGACCAAGCCCTGCGGCTCATGGAGAATTACCTGGTTCAGTTCGGGGACTTCAAGGTGCCCCCCTGCGCTGTCGGGCGGGGCTGGGGACAGGGGGAGCACGGGGGGGTCCTGGCTCACCTGTCCCCCCCAGGAGCGCATCGCCAAGCGGGGCCGAAAGCTCGTGGACTACGACAGTGCCCGGCACCACCTGGAGGCTCTGCAGAGCGCCAAGAAAAAGGACGAGGCCAAAATCGCCAAGGTTGGGGCTCCCCGGCAAGGCCCCCGCGTGGGGACAGTCCCCCGGCCGTGGGGACAAAGCCACGACCCCCCCGTCCCTCCCCGCAGGCCGAGGAGGAGTTCAACAAAGCCCAGGCGGTGTTTGAGGACCTGAACAGGGACCTGCGGGAGGAGCTGCCCGTCCTGTACGGCAGGTATGGCCTTGTCACAGGGCTGGGGACATCGCGGGGGCTCGGGGACACGCGGGGGGATGGGGACCCTGCAGGGATTTGGGGACTTCACGGGGCTGGAGGGCACCGTGGGGGTTGTCAGGCTGGGGGTGTCATGGGGCTGGGGGACACCACAAGGGCCTGGGGACATCACAGACCAGGGGGTGGGGGACATTTTGGGGCTAGGGACATCGTGGGGCTCGGGGACACGGGCTGGGCATTGGTGCCATCGGGTGGGTGAGGTCCCCCCATTCAGGGGAGAACTCGCGTGGGTCTCTCCTCAAAGTCCACCCTGGGGACACATCGGGGGTCCTGGGGCCATCAACCACGGGGGCCTGTGACAGTGGGAGGTGGCAGCTCCACGGCATCCAGGGGGTGGCCCTGAGGGGACATTCCCGTTCCGTGCGGGGCCCACGGAGTTGGGGACTCAGCGGGAGGGACGGGTGGGAGGTGGCTGAGCACACCCAGACCCCTCCGGTGTCCCCTGGGTGGGACATCGCGGGGCACCCCCAGACCCCTCCGGTGTCCCCTGGGTGGGACATCGTGGGGCACGCCCAGACCCCTCCCTGTCCCCGCAGCCGCATCGCCTGTTACGTCACCGTTTTCCAGAACATCTCCAACCTCCGCGACGTCTTCTACAAGGAGATGAGCAAGGTGGGGAAGGCACCCCAAAACGTTTCCCCCGCCCCCGGTAGCACCAGGCGTCCCCAGGTGTCCCCAGGTGTCCCCGGGTGTCCCCAGGTGTCCTCAGGTGGCTACACCGGTGCTGCTCCCCGCCCCTCCAGAGTCCTTGCTCTTCATTTCGTTCATTCATTCAGAGCAGCCCGAGGGTGTGCGGGGTGTCCCCAGGTTTTGGGGCCCTGCTGAGCCCCCGGGTGAGGGGGGACACCTGGGGGGCTCCCTGAAGGGTTTCTGTGTCCCTCCTCCCCAGCTCAACCGGGACCTGTACGAGGTGATGAGCAAACTGGAGAAGCAGCACTCGAGCAAGGTGTTCATCATCAAAGGTGTCCCCAGGTAACAGCCGGGGACATGAGGGGACAATTCGCCCCCAGCCCTCCTGAGGCAGGCGGGTGGGCATCTGCCACAGATGGGCTGAAGGTGCCTCTGGGTGGCCCTGGGGAATTATCGGGGTCCTGCTGGATGGGGAAGCTGGGACAGGACACCCCAAGGATGCTTGGGGACACCCCAAGCTGAACCCCTCTGTCCCCCCCAGCAACCGCCGCTCTCTGGTCATCTCCGCGCCCGTGAGCCCCCCGGCCATGTTCCCCTGCCCGGACAAGGCGCCCGCGGTGGACGCGGAGGTGACACCGGGGTCCCCCGGCGGCGACAGCGCTGCCACCGACGCCGCCACCAGCGCGGAGCTGGGGGCTGTTTCCCCCGGGCCCCCCCCGGCCTCGCCCGCCAGCGGGGGCTCCCTGGACACGGCGTCGCTGTCCAGCGAGGAGAACGGGGAGCCCGGCCGCGACAGCGAGCCCCCCGAGGGGGCGACATCGGTGACAGGGTCGGTGTCCAGCGAGGGGACCCCCGAGCCCATCTCCAAGCCCGACTCTCTGTCCCCTGGTTCGGAGCCGTCGGCGACAGCCGCGGAGCCGGGGGGTGACAGCGGGGCGCGGGGAGGGGCCGAGGGCATCGCCACCTCCCTGGCGTCACTGATTTTATCCGAGGCCATTGCCCAGGCCGCTGGCACCTTGTCACCAGCGGCGGGGCGAGCCGCGGACGCGGCGGGGGACAGCGCGGCCACCAGCGCCGAGGCTCGGCCGCCGCCGTCCCCCCCCGCGGCTGTCCCCTGCCGTGTCCTCGGTCCCGCGGCGGCACCGGCGTGTCCCCGGGAGCCGTGCCAGCTCGGCGGTGAGCGGGGACAGCGCGGGGACAGCGGGGACAGCGCGGAGGCGGCGGATGTCGAGCCACAGGTGCGCAAAACTCCGGGGGAAAGTTCTGGGGGGCGCGGGGGTGGGAGCGAGGAACGCGCACAGGGGGATCCCCTGCTGGGGACACCCGGGGGGGTGTGGGGACACGGGGCCGGCCCGGGGGACAAAGCCAGCCCGTGGCACACCGGACCTGCCCCTCCCCGCGGCGCCGGGCCCCGGGAGCGGCCGGTGCCCCCCTGGACCCCCAACCCTGGCGGGTACAACGGGCGGGGGGCTCGGTCCCTTTTGGGTGGGATTCCACGGAATCACGAGGTGCCAGTGTCACCCCCGCGTCTCTCCCAGGGCTGTTCCGAGACACCAGAGCAGGACACGAGCCAGGACCCCTCAGGTGCTGCAGACCCCCCCCAGGATCCCCCCGAGTCCCTCACCACCCTGTGATCCCACAGGGAAATGTGGCGTCTTCCCCAAATTCATTCCCCTGAAAGTATTTCCCAACCCCGTCGGAAATAAAGATGGAAAAGGTAGAAAAATCCCAAATCTCCATCTGGGGTAGAAAGTATTTCCCAGCCCCCATCCCGTCCGAAATAAAGATGGAAAAGGTAGAAAAATCCCAAATCTCCATCTGGGATTGCGGAGGGTCCGGGGGGACCCCACCGGCGGATTTGGGGTGGCTGAGGAGTGTAAGAAGGATAGGTTGGGGGTTGTCATTCTCTCCCCAGCTCCAACACCCGTGATTCGGGAAAAAGGCGTCGAGCCTGTTCCACCAGCTCCGGAAAATGCGCTGTCATGCCAAAAAAAACCCAAACGCCCCAATTTTCCCCTCCCGTGATCCAGAATTCCCCCATTCCCGCACGAAGCCCCATTCCCAATCTCCGGGATGATGGGTTTGGCCCGCAGCCAGCGAGGGGTTAACGGGGGAGGGATCCGGGGGGGTTGATCCTCATTCCGGCCGAACTGGAAAGGTGAGGTAGGAAAAAGGCAACGCCTTCACCTGGGCAACGCCTTCACCTGGAGCCGCACATGGTGCCGGCAGGTAAGAGCTGCAGAGAGGGGCCTGCATCCCGGGGTGCCCCCTCCCCCCGAAATTCCCGGTCCCTGGGGGGCTTTAGGGGTGGCTGCGCAAAATCCCAGGCCCAGGGGTCTGGACACGGCGGCTCCGCAGCCCTGCAGTGAGGGACGGGGGGTGCAGCCGGTCTGGGGTGCAGCCGGAATGTCGGGGCATTTTCCAGCTGGATTTGGGGTGGGAGCGGAGGGAAAGGCCGGATCCTGCCACAGGGAGAGGCTGAAATCAGGAAATCCGGCAGGAAAGCTGAGGGGGAAACAGGGGGAGCAAAGTGCTGCTCCAAGGGGATCATCCCAAGGTGACGGAGAAGAAACGAGGGCGAGCAGCAAATGCCGCCCTCCAGCCGCTGGGGAGGGAAGTGGGGGCTGTAAAGGGGCTGCCGAGCACCCCCAAAAGAAGCCTGGGGGGATGGTTTGGTGATCCCATCCTCCATTCACCGGGAATGGGAAGGGAGGGGCTGTGAAGGTGCTGCCAAGCACCCCTAAAACATCTGTAGGGACGGTTTGCTCCTCCCGTCCTCCGGGCACCGGGAATGGGCACGGGAATGGGGGTGGGGGGCTGTAAAGGGGCTGCTGAGCACCCCCAAAAGAAGCCTGGGGGGATGGTTTGATGATCCCATCCTCCATTCACCGGGAAAAGGAATGGAGGGGCTGTAAAGGCACCGCCAAGCACCCCTAAAAATCGCTGTGGGGTTCCTTTCTCCTCCCGTCCTCCGGGAACGGGAATGGGGATTGGGGATGGGGAGGGGGGGCTGCATCCGCGGTGCTCCTGGAAGGGGGTTTTGGGATCAGAGCAGCCGAGCGGGGCAGGGCTTCCCTCGGGAGCGGCTCTGGAGCCGCTCGGCCGGAGCGCAGGAATGAGGAAGATGAGGGTTTTCCCCCGCCCTGCTTTGAAAACACGTGGAGATGCATGGGGATGCAGCGGGCTGGGAATGATTCACCGGGTGCCGCTGCCAGCCCCCTCTTCCGCTGGATCCCGGCCTGGCACCGCCACAAACCCCGGGGGTTTCCGCGGCGGGAGGCACCGGAGCCTTCCCGCAGGGCTCGGGTGATTCCTTCCCACGATGCCAAGGCGGGAGCAGCGAGGGGATGCAGGGGAGCATCCCTGCCCCGGAGAGAGCAGGGGGAGCTGCACTCCCCCCGCCAGGCGTGGTTTGATGGAAACCAAACCCTTCCCTCAGATAAACTCGGGTTAGAGCTTTGGGGAGCCCCGGCATTGCAATTCTCGGGCGCTGTGGGTCCCAGGATTGCATTTTTGGGAGTTTGGTTTGAGCTCCTCACTGGCAGTGCCAGACTCTTCCCAAGGAACCCTTCCCAAGGCTCGGACCAGCCCATTCCACCCAGCGGCGCCTTTTCCTCTTCTTCCCCTAAACCCCGGGTACTTTTGGGGAATTTAATCCCAGTTTTGGCTCAGAAGCCACCCGGGAGCAGCAGCTGCTCCGTGGGAAGGCCGTGGTTGGCTTTGGGAAAGGCCCAGAGGGCGCTGCCAGGGGAGGTCACAGCAAAGCCGGGTTTAATGAAGGGCTGGGCGAAAGCAAAACCGGATTTAAGGCAAAACTGGACTGAAAACAAAACTGTTGAAAGCAAAGCTTGGTTTAATTCAAAGCTGGGTTTAAAGCAAAACCGAGTTTAAAACAAAGCTGGGATTAAAGCAACTCTGGATGTAATGCAAATCTGTGTTTAAAGCAAAGTCGTGTCTGAAGCAAACTCGGTTTAAAGGAAAGGTGGTTTTAAGGCAAAATCAGGTTTAATTCAAAGCTGGGTTTAATGAAAAGCTGGACTTAGAGTGAAGTTGGGTTTAAAGCAAAATGAGCTTAAAGCAAAACTAAGTTTAAAGAAAAACTGGGTTCAACCTAGAACTGAACAAAAGTAAAATTAGGCTTAAAGCAAAATTGTGCTGGCAATAAAATCGGGTTTAAAGCAAAGCTGGGTTTAAGGCAAAATCGGGTTTAAACAAAGTTGGGATTAAAGCAGAGCTTGGTTTCAAGCAAAGCTGGGTTTAAAACAAAACAAAGTTTAAAGTAAAACAAGCTTGAAACAAAACAAGGTTTCACGCAGGACTAGTTTTAAAGCAGAACTGGTCTTACAGCACAACCAGGTTTGAAGTACAACCGGGTTCAAAGCAGAGCTGATCTTAAGTAAAACTGAGTTTAACGAGCGGGTGGCTGCTGCCAGCCCGAGCCGGGCACTGCCTGCTCGGGGTCCCTGCTCCTCCTGTCACTGCCCCAACTCCCGGAGCCCCCAGCCCCAATTCCCACCTCCCCCAGCCCCAATTCCCGGCGCCCCCCCAGCACCAATTCCCACCTCCCCCAGCCCCAATTCCCGGCGCCCCCCCAGCTCCCAAATTCCCACCTCCCCCAGCGCCAATTCTCGACGCCCCCAGCCCCAATTCCCACCTCCCCCAGCCCCAATTCCCAGGGCTCCCCTCAGCTCTAATTCCCACCTCCCCCAGCCCTAATTCCCACCTCTCCCAGCCCCAATTCCCGGGGCTCCCCCAGCCCCATTTCCCGGTTCCCTCTGCCCCAATTCCCGGCGCCCCCAGCCCCAATTCCCGCTCGCGGCCCGGCCGTGGCCCCGCCCCGCTCCTGCCCCGCTCCCGCCGCTCGATTTCCTCTTTTTTTTTTAAAAAACCCCAAACAAATGGGATTCGATTCGCTCCGAGCGCGCTGAGTCACGGAACCCCCGCGCCCGGAGCCACCGCCGGGACACTCTGGGGGGCCCGGGGGTCCCCATCGGGCACAGCCGAGGTGGGTCGGACAATTGCACGTCCCGGCTGCGACGCCGAGCTCCGGCCCCGCGTTTGGGGCATTTTCAAGGACTTTCGGGCACTTTGAAGCTCTCAAAATCTGGGAGCGATTCCAGTCAGGGGCTGGTTCTTCCCTGCCCCGGCTCCGACCCCCGCCCCAGTAACACCAGCGCGTTACTGGTGCTGCACCACCCCCCTGGCGCGGGGCTTTCGGGGCGGTTTGGGGGAAATCGCCACTTTGATCCCTATTTTCGGCAGCTCCGAAGGAACCCGGAGCCTCACCTGGAAGGAGCCACTGCAAGGAGGGGTTTCACCCCCACCTGAGCACAGCTGACGGGGCACTGAGTGGGAATTCACCGCTTTTATCGCTATTTTCGGCAGCTCCGAAGGAACACGGAGCCTCACCTGGAAGGAGCCACTGCAAGGAGGGGTTTCACCCCCACCTGAGCACAGCTGACGGGGCACTGAGTGGGAATTCACCGCTTTTATCGCTGTTTTTGGCAGCTCTGAAGGACCCCAACCCTTCCCCCGGCAGGAGCCGATGCGATGGAGGGAGAGCAGCCCCACCTGAGCTCAGGTGAGCACCGGGAGCCGCTTCTCTGGCCTCTCCCCGCCTTCCCCAGGCCCTCCCTCACCCCCTGTCTCCCTGTCCCGAGGAAGACCTGACCACGCCGTTCCTGAGGAAGGCTCCCACGCCGCCCGGCCGTGAGGACGCCGACACGGCGGTGATCGCAGGTGAGGCCGCGGCCCCCGGCCGGCCCCGGGCCGCTGCGGGCGCTCGGGCTCAGCCTGTGCTTGCCCGCAGTGGTGATCACCCTGGTGTTCCTGACGCTGCTGACCGTGCTGCTGGTCATCGGGATTTACCTGTACCGGAACCAGGGCTCCTACCGCACCTACGAGCAGCCGGAGCCGGACGCGGCCCCGCGGGAGGAGCCTTCGGCCAAGGACAAGGAGGAATATTTTATCTAAGGACGCGCCCGGCATCCGCGCAGGTCCCGGAATTACCTGGAGCTGGGGGGGTCGACGTGAATTTTCAGGAGTTAGGATGCTACCTGAATTCCCTGGTGTCGGGGATCTGAAATTTCCTGGAGCTGGGGATGCGCTGAAATATCCCCGAGCTGAGGATCTGCTGGAATTTCTTGGAGGTGGGGGATCTTCCTGAGTGGGAATGTGCCTAAACGCCCTGGAGCTGGGGCTCTGCCTGCACTTCCTGGCTTTGGGGTTCTGCCTAAATTCCTTGGATTCGGGGATCCACCTCAATTGGAAACCTGCCTAAATTCCCTGGGGTCGAGGTTCTGCCTAAATCTCCTGGCGCTGGGATCTGCCTGAATCCCCTGGAGCTTCTGATCTCCCTAAATTCCCTGGAGCTGGGGTTCTGCCTAAAGCCGAGGATCTACAGGCTGGTTTTGTTTGGTTTATTTTGATTTTTTTTCCTTAATTTATGAAGCCAACCATGGAAGGTTTATGTGGGTGCCCGAGGGTAGGAAAAACCCCAAATACCCCCCAAAAAATAGTAAGAGGAAGTTCTCAATGCAGCAGGAAAAAGGAAAGAAGTGAGGAAACCCCAGCTGGCAGCAGCCAAAGGGGTTCTCAGAGGCCCAACAGAAATTTGTTACTTCATTTAAATTTTCAAAATAATCTTTATTTTTGGTTTTTAGTATAAAAACTCCACAAGTTCAGTGCAGCACAGAGAGTCCGAGAGCTGAGCTCGGGAGCAGTCAGGGATGGCCACACACACACAGAACACAGATTCAGATTAAAATGAAATATTAAGATAAAATAAGAGTCGAATCTGAGCTCTTTCTTCATCAAGTAACAACCAAAAGGGAGAAAACCACCCGACTGAGGATCCCTGAAGTGCTCCTCCCAATCTTGTGGAGGTTTGGTTATCAATGCAGGCGTGAGTCACTGATAAACACATCGATAAACCCACTCAGGAACTTCCCATTCATAAATACCCGCCTACAAACATCCCATTGATAAAACCCCACGGACAAACATCCCATTGATAAAACCCCACGGACAAACATCCCATTGATAAAACTCCTCCACAAACCCACCAATCAACACCTCATTGATCAACCCACCGATAATCCCCATCCCAAAGAGGAAACCCAAGGGATTTGGGCGCTCCCTGACAATCCCCACCCCCGGGACAGACGGAAACAGCCTCTCGGATTTAAGGAATTTGGGTGCGAAAACACCAGGTTCGAGTTAAAACCAAGCGTTTGCTAATTAAGCATCAATTAAACCTGGCTCTAGCTGGAATGGGAGGATCCCCCGGGAGCTGCAGCACGGCCCTGGCACCGCTCATGGCTTTGAGTAGAGCTGAAGTGCAAACCACCCAAAATTACTGGGAGTGGGCTAAAAACATCCCAGGCCAGAGGTGCCTGGAGGAGAAAGGTGGGAGAGGGCGAGGGGGCCCCTCGAGTGAGGCCACGAAGGGCTCAGGTGTCCCTGCCACTGCTGGACAGGAGATTTTTGCCTCTGGGGAGGAGATTTTTGCTTCTGGAGAGGAGGATTTTTTGCCTCTGACAAGAAGATTTTGCCTCTGAGGAGGAGATTTTTGCCTCTGGGGAGGAGATTTTTGCTTCTGGAGAGGGAATTTTGCCTCTGGGGAGGATATTTTTGCTTCTGGGAAGGAAATGTCTCTGAGGAGGAGATTTTGCCTCTGGAGAGGACATTTTTGCTTCTGGGAAGGAGATTTTTGCTTCTGGGGAGGAAATGTTGCCTCTGAAGAGATTTTGCCTCTAGAGAGGAGATTTTGTCCGTTTCCTACCCAAAATCCACCTTTCCCAAAAAGAAGAGAAACCCGGATGGCTCCAGCAGAGGGATGAGGGTGATGGGAGGGGAAACCCCTCCCCAGGGCGTAATTAGGCCATTAATTAATTAGAGCTGCGTGTAAATGAGGACGGGGCGGGGCTGAGCTCAGCCCTATTTGTGAATGAGCCCCCCGGGACCCCCCAGCTGCCCACACCCCTCCCGTCACCCACCCGTGTCACCCGTGGGTGGGGGTCCCTCCCCGGGCGGGTCCCTGGGGGGGGCGCTGAGGGGTGGGGGACCCCCAGACCCGGCCCCCCTCACCAGAGGCTGAAGGCCCCCCCCAGGAAGCCCCCCTTGCGTGGGGGCAGCAGGACGGCGGCTCCGGGCGGGACGGGCACCGGGGGGGCAGCCGGGGGGCACCCGGGGGGCGGCGGCTGCAAGGCAAAACAGGGACAGCGCTGTCACACAGGGGAGGGGACACTGCCACACAGGGGAGGGGACACTGCCACACAGGGGACAGCACTGTCACACAGGGGAGGGGACACTGCCACACAGGGGACAGGAACTGTCACAGGGGACAGCACTGCCACAACAGGGACAGCACTGTCACACAGGGGAGGGGACACTGCCACACAGGGGACAGGAACTGTGGGACACTGTCACCAGAGGGGACAGCACTGTCACACAGGGGACAGCACTGTGACACAGGGGGGACAGCACTGTCACACAGGGGAGGGGACACTGCCACACAGGGGACAGGAACTGTCACACAGGGGACAGGACACTGTCACCAGAGGGGACAGCACTGTCACACAGGGGATGGGACACTGCCACAACAGGGGACAGGTCACTGTCACAACATGGGGCAGGTCATTGTCACAGTGCCACCCGTTCCAGGTCACTGTCACAACAGGGGACAGCCGAGGCTGGTGTCATGCCCAGGGTGGGCTGTGGGGACACAGCAATGTCCCCAAGCCCTGCTGAGGGATGGCGGCCAGGGTGGGACACAGCAATGTCCTCAGCCCTGAGCCACCTCTGAGGCACCTGGGCCGGGGTGGGGACAGCTGTGTCACCTGTGCTGCCACCTGGGGGCACATTGTCACCTGTCCCCAAGCTACAGGAGGGAACTCCAGGGGAGCAGGAACCTCTCAGGCTCCAGGAGAGGGGAGCCCAGGGGCCCAGGTGAGCAGGAGCCTCCCCCAGCTCCCAGTGCCAGGCCCAGGTGTGGGCACAGGTGAGGTCAGGGGGCCAAGGCCCCCCTTGCCCTGCTCCCCCAGGCCACGCCCAGCCCGGCTGTGACCCAGGGCCACCTGTGATCCCAAATCCCAGCTGGAAGTGCCCAAACCAGGTGGGATGGGGCTGGGACTCACCGGGGCCAGGGCCAGGTGATCTTCTGGTCCCTCCCCACCCAAATCCCCCAGGCCTGGGCATCCACCTGCACTCCCTGGCATGCTGCCAGTGCCACCTGTCCCAAACCCTCCCACCTGTCCCAAACCCCACAGATCCACCTGGTATCACTGGGATGCTGCCAGTGTCACCTGTGACAAACCCTCCCACCCGTCCCAAACCTTCTCACCTGTCCCAAACCCCTGCAGTCCCCGGGATGTTGCCAGTGCCCCCTGTCCCCTCACCTGTCCCAAACCCCACAGATCCACCTGGTATCACCTGGATGGTGCCAGTGCCACCTGTCCCAAACCCTCCCACCTGTCCCAAACCCCTGCAGTCCCCGGGATGTTGCCAGTGCCCCCTGTCCCAAACCCTCCCACCTGTCCCAAACCTTCTCACCTGTCCCAAACCCTACAGATCCACCTGCACCCACCGGGATGATGCCAGTGCCACCTGTCCCAAACCCCTGCAGTCCCCAGAATGTTGGCAGTGCCCCATGTCCCAAACCCTCCCACCCAAATCCCCAAACCACACAGATCCACCTGGTATCACCAGGATGATGCCAGTGTCACCTGTGACAAACCCTCCCACCCGTCCCAAACCTTCTCACCTGTCCCAAACCCCTGCAGTCCCCGGGATGTTGGCAGTGCCCCATGTCCCAAACCTTCCCACCCAGATCCCACAGATCCACCTGATATCACAAGGAGGATGCCAGTGCCCCCTGTCCCAAACCCTCCCCCCTGTCCCAAGCCCTCCCCCTGCCCCATCCCACAGACCCCCTGCACTCACCGGGACGCTGGCAGTGCCCCCCGTGCCCAGCCTGTCGAAGCCCCCCTCGAGCAGCAGGGTGGATCCAGGGGGGAGCACCTGGCCCAGGGGCAGATAGGCCACGGGGGAGCCCAGAGCCGCCGGGGGCAGCGGCGGCGCCAGGGGCACGTACAGGGACGGCCCCGGGTACGGCGGGGACACGGCGGGGACGCCAGCAGCGCCCAGCGGCACCACGCTCAGGCGGTAGAGCTGCAAACACAGCCAGGTGAGACAGGTCAGCCAGGTGAGCCAGGTGAGACAGGTCAGACAGGTCAGTCAGGTGAGCCAGGTCAGACAGGTGAGACAGGTGAGACAGGTCAGTCAGGTGAGCCAGGTGAGACAGGTGAGACAGGTGAGCCAGGTCAGCCGGGTCAGCCAGGTGAGACAGGTGAGACAGGTGAGACAGGTGAGATATGTCAGCCGGGTCAGCCAGGTGAGCCAGGGGAGCCAGGTGAGCCAGGTGAGCCAGGTGAGCCAGGTGAGCCAGGTGAGACAGGTCAGCCGGGTGAGACAGGTGAGCCAGGTGAGACAGGAGAGACAGGTGAGCCAGGTGAGCCAGGTCAGTCAGGTCAGACAGGTGAGCCAGTGCCACCCCCACCCAGCACTCAGGCACTGTCACCTGCCTCAGGGAGCTGGGGGTCACCTGGGCTCACCCCCAGGCTTTACTGGGGTCACCTGGGCCAGGGAAGGAGGGTCCCTGCCATGGGGAGCTCTGGGGGTCCCCTGGGCTGTGGGCAGGAGGGGTGCCAGGGTGAGGGTGCCAGGGTGAGGGTGCCAGGGTGAGGGTGCCAGGGTGAGGGTGCCAGGGTGAGGGTGCCAGGGTGGAGGTGCCAGGGTCAAGGTGCCAGGGCGAAGGGGTCAGGGGGAGGGGGCCAGGGTGAAGGGTGAAGGTGCCAGGGAGAAGGTGCCAGGGTGAGGGTGCCAGGGTGAGGGTGCCAGGGTGAGGGTGCCAGGGTGAAGGTGTCAGGGTGAGGGTGCCAGGGTGAAGGTGCCAGGGTCAAGGTGCCAGGGTGAAGGTGTCAGGGTGAGGGTGCCAGGGTGAAGGTGCCAGGGTGAGGGTGCCAGGGTGAGGTGCCAGGGTGAGGGTGCCAGGGTGAGGTGCCAGGGTGAGTGTGTCAGGGTGAGGGTGCCGGGGTCAGGCGTGTCCCAGCTGTCCCACCTACCTCGGGGTACGCCGCTGCAGGGTCCAGGTAGGGCGGCGGCTGCGGCAGGGGCAGAGCCTGGGGGTACCCGGGGGGGGCCGGGCCCGGGAGCAAGGGCTGGCCAGGGAGAAGGTGCCAGGGTGAGGGTGCCAGGGTGAGGGTGCCAGGGTGAAGGTGTCAGGGTGAGGGTGCCAGGGTGAAGGTGCCAGGGGGAGGGTGCCAGGGTGAGGTGCCAGGGTGAGGGTGCCAGGGTGAGGTGCCAGGGTGAGTGTGTCAGGGTGAGGGTGCCGGGGTCAGGCGTGTCCCAGCTGTCCCACCTACCTCGGGGTACGCCGCTGCAGGGTCCAGGTAGGGCGGCGGCTGCGGCAGGGGCAGAGCCTGGGGGTACCCGGGGGGGGCCGGGCCCGGGAGCAAGGGCTGGCCTGGGAACGGCCCTGGGGACAGGAACGGGTCAGGAGAGCCGCGACAGGGCTGGGTTTGGGGCTGCCGGGAAAAGGCATCGCCCCCTGCCCTGTGCCCCCCACCCCGGGCATCAGCCAGCACTGCCCATGCCTCCCTGCCCCCCCGGCAGCTCCCCCAGGGCCCCCACGGCATCAGCCCGGCCTCGGTGTTATAAAGAATATAAGAATTTAATATAAAATGGAGTTCAAATAAAAATAAAAATAAAATTTATAATATAAATTATAAATTGCATTATATTATTTATATATTTATATATGCATTTTATTTATATTAATTTTATATATTAATATTTTATAAATAATTATATATAAAATATATTTTTGCGTATAGATATATTAATATTTATGTGTATATTTAAAATACATATATATAAATATATATTTTTATGTATTTTAAATTATACATTTAAAGTAATTATATTTGAAATTTATACATTTTATATATTACAAATGTATATTTTATTTATTTATTTATTATTTATGTTATATTTTTATATATTTACATTTCTATTTACTAAAAATTATATTATACCATTTATATTATAAATAATATAAATTACAGAGATAATCCCTGTATCTCTGTATCATTAAAGATTCCACTGAGGTTGTAAAATTCCCGTTTTTGAAAGTCCAAAATTCCCATTTTTTAATGTCCAAAATTCCCGGTTTTAAAGTCCAAAATTCCCATTTTTAAAGTCCAAAATTCCCGTTTTTGAAAGACCAAAATTCCCATTTTTTAAAGTCCAAAATTCCCGGTTTTAAAGCCCAAAATTCCCATTTTTAAAGTCCAAAATTCTCGTTTTTGAAAGTCCAAAATTCCCATTTTTAAAGTCCAAAATTCCCATTTTTTAAAGTCCAAAATTCCCGGTTTTAATGCCCAAAATTCCCATTTTTAAGGTCCAAAATTCCCATTTTTAAAGCCCAAAATTCCCGTTTTTAAAGCCCAAAATTCCCATTTTTAAGGTCCAAAATTCCATTTTCGGGGTGTTTTCCCGCTCCCTCTGCCCTCATCTCGGTCCCACTTTCAGGGCTCCATTTTCTCCCTTTCCTGCCCATCTCCATCCCGCTCATGAATAATGCAGTGGCTGCGGCATGAATATGCAAATGAGGCTGCTGCCAGCGGGATGTGCTCATGAATAATTCATGAGGGGGGATGTTCCTCACCTCCAGACCGCCAGAAATGGGGAAAAAACCGGATTTACCGAGCCGGGGGGCGCGGAGCTGCCTTAGACCCGGCCTAGGGACCCCAAACCCGGCCTAGGGACTCCAGACCCAGCCTAGGGACCCCAAACCCTGATTAGGGATCCCTTAGACCCGGCCTAGGGACCCCAAACCCGGCCTAGGGACCCCAGACCCAGCCTTGGGACCCCAAACCCCGCCTAGGGACTCCAGACCCGGCCTAGGGACCCCAAACCTTGATTAGGGATCCCTTAGACCCAGCTTAAGGACCCCAGCCCCCACTTGGGGACCCCAGACCCCACTTAGGGACCCCAGATCCTGATTAGGGACCCCCAGACCCAGCCTAGGAACTCACAGATCCATTTAGAAACCCCCAGACCCATTTAGGGACCCCAGACCCATTTAGGGACCCCAGACCCATTTCGGGACGCCCCTCCGTCCATCCCCCGCGCCCCCCGCGCCCCCCAGCTGAGCCTTTGTTAATTAAAGTCCGCCCCCCCACGCGAGCTGTTTTCCTTTCCCCGTATGCAAACGATTCGCTCTATGCAAATGCATGCAAATGAGCCCGGGATTTAACTAGCTGGAGGTATTTAACGATTCCTATTAAATATTCATAATCACGGCAGCGCGTATGCAAATGAAGCCGGCAGAACCGGGCCGCGGCCGCCAATAACAGGTGCACCTGGGCTAATTAGAATATTAATGAATATTAATGATATTAATGAGCAGGGGTCGGGCTGGCGGCGGGGTCATTAATATGCGGTCCTGTGCCCCCCTTCCCCCATCCCTTGTCCTCTTTGTCCCCTCTCGTCTGGGGGGGTCCTGGGGCTTGGGGGGGCCGGGGTTGGGGGGTCCAGGATTGGGGATTCAGGGTTTGGGGGGTCCCCTGGATTGGGGATTCGGGGTTTGGGGGGTCCCGGTACTCAGGATCTGGGATTTGGGGGGTCCTGGCATCCTGGGTCTGGGGTTTGGGGGGTCCTGGATTTGGGATTTGCGGTTTTGGGGGGTCCTGGATTGGGGATTCAGGGTTTGGGGGATCCTGGATTGAGGATTTGAGGTTTGGGGAGTCCTGGCACCCTGGGTCTGGGATTTTGGGGGGTCCTGGATTGAGGATCCGGGGTTTGGGGGGTCCTGGGGTTTTGGGGGGTCCTGGCACTCCAGGGTCTGGGGTTTTGAGGGGGCTGGAATTGGCATTCTGGGGTTTTGGGGGGTCCTGCATTGGGGAATCCGGGGGTTTGGGGGTCCTGGATTGGGGATTTGGGGTTTGGGGGGTCCTGGCACTTCGGAGTCTGGGTTTGGGAGATGCTGGATTGAGGATTCGGGGTTTGGGCGATCCTGGATTTGGGATCCGGGCTTTGGGGGGTCCTGGCCCTTCAGAGTCTGGGGTTTGGGAAATCCTGGATTGAGGATTCGGGGTTTGGGGGGTCTGGCACTTCGGGGTCTGGGGTTTAGGGGGTCCTGGATTGGGCATGCAGGGTTTAGGGGGTCATGGCACCCTGGGTCTGGGGTTTTGGGGCGTCCTGGATTGAGGATCTGGGATTTGGGGCGTCCTGGATTGGGGATTCGGGGTTTGGGGGGTCCTGGCACTCTGGGTCTGGGGGTTTGGGGGTTTCTGGGCTGGGAACCTCTGGTTTGGGGGTCTTGGGGCTGGAGGCGGTTCTGGTGCTGGGGAGGGTCTCTGGTTTTGGGGTTCCAGGGCTGAGGAGGCCTCTGCAGCTCGGGGGTCTCTGGTTTTGGGGTTTCTGGTTCTGGGGGTGTCCCTGGTGCTTTGGCCCCGGGGGGCTCTGGGGTGTCCCGGGGGTCTTTGGGCCCGGGGGCACCTCGGGAGCCTTTGGGGGGTTCCCGGAGGGGTCTCCAGCTCTGGGGTCTCTCTGGCCCCGGGGGGCGTCTGGCTCGGGGGTGTCCAGGGGGGTCTCGGGGTCTCTATCCCAGTGGGGGGTCTCTGGGTGGTCTCGGGGGTCTCTGTCCCGAGGATCTCTGGGGTCCCGGGGGTCTCTGTCTCGGGGGCCTCAGGGGTCTCTGTCCCGGGGTCCCTCTCCCGAGGGTCTCTCGGGTCTCTCTGTCCCAGGGGTCTCTGTTCCGGGGGCCCCAGGGGTCACTCTCCCGGCTCCCTCTCCCGGGGGTCCCTGTCCCGGGGGTCTTTGTCCAGGGGGTCCCTGTCCCGGGGGTCTCTGTCCGTCTCCCTGTACCTCTCACTGTCCCTCTCCCTCTCCCTGTCCCTGTCCCTCTCCGGGGCTCCCTGTCCCTCTCCCAGGGGTCTCTGACCCTCTCCCTGTCCCTGTCCCTGTCCCTGTCCCTCTCCGGGGCTCCCTGTCCCTCTCCCAGGGGTCTCTGACCCTCTCCCTGTCCCTGTCCCTGTCCCTGTCCCTCTCCGGGGGTCCCTGTCCCTCTCCCAGGGGTCCCTCTCCCAGGGGTCGTCCCGGTCCCCGCTGTCCGTCTCCGTGTACCTCTCACTGTCCCTCTCCCTCTCCCTGTCCCTGTCCCTCTCCGGGGCTCCCTGTCCCTCTCCCAGGGGTCTCTGACCCTCTCCCTGTCCCTGTCCCTGTCCCTGTCCCTCTCCGGGGGTCCCTGTCCCTCTCCCAGGGGTCCCTCTCCCAGGGGTCCCTGTCCCTCTCCGGGGCTCCCTGTCCCTGTCCCTGTCGCTGTCCCTCTCCCTGTCCCTATCCCTGTCCCTATCCCTGTCCCCGTCCCTGTCCCTCTCCCCGTCCCTCTCCCTCTCCCTGTCTCAGACCTGTGCTCAGCCCCTCCATGCGTGGCCATCCCAGGGTGACTCTTGTTCCTCAGCCCTGCACCCCCCATGAGCCCCCCAAAGGAGCAGTGGGGGCACGGCGCTGCCCCCATCCCATCCCACTGACCCCATGGATCCCATGGATCCCATCCCATCCCATTCCATCCCATTGATCCCACTGATCTCATCCCATTGATCTCTTTGATCCCACTGATCCCATCCCATTGATGTCATCCCATTGATCCTGTTGATCCTATTGATAGCATCCCATTGATCCCAGTGATCCCATCAATCCCATTGATCCCATCTATCAATCCTATCCCATTGATCCCATCCCATCAATCCCATTGATCCCATGAATCCCATTGATCCCATTATCCCAGTGATCCCATCAATCCCATCAATCCCATCAATCCCAACAATCCGATCCCATCAATCCCATGGATCCCATCAATCCCATTGATCCCATTGATCCCATCCCATCGATCCCACTAATCCCATTGATCCCATTATCGCATCCCATCAATCCCATGGATCCCATCGATCCTATCAATCCCATCAATCCCATCAATCCCATGGACCCCATCAATCCCATTGATCCCATTGATCCTATCAATCCCATCCCATCAATCCCATGGATCCCATCAATCCCATTGATCCCATTGATCCCATCCCATCGATCCCACTAATCCCATTGATCCCATTATCGCATCCCATCAATCCCATTGATCCCATTGATCCCATTATCGCATCCCATCAATCCCATGGATCCCATCGATCCTATCAATCCCATCAATCCCATCAATCCCATCCCATCCCATGCCAGTGATCCCATCAATCCCATGGATCCCATCCCATCAATCCCATGGATCCCATCAATCCCATTAATCCCACTGATCCTATCAATCCCGTCCCACGGATCCCATCAATCCCATTGATCAAAACTGATCCCATCAGTCCCATGGATCCCATCAATCCCACGGATGCCATCCCAGCCCATGGGGTGCGGGTCCGGGGTTCCCGTGCCCCCAGCCCCGTGCTGCCCCTCCAGGCTGCCCTGTGCCACCCCAGGAGGTGGCATCGCGCTCCAGGCTCTGCCCTGGGGGCACCAAGCTCTGCTCTGGCCTGCCAGGAGATTCCAACCCCGGGAATAAAAATTCCTGGGAAGCTGCTGCAGGCTGATCCCAGCAGTGCCAGGGCTCGGAAATGCTGCAGCTCGGATTTGGGGTCGGGATTCTGCCCCCAAACCCCTGTGAGGGTGGGAAGGAAATCCGGGATGGAGGAATTCCGCCTCGGCCTCGTGGCTCCCTGCACCTTGGGGAAAGCAGCAAAACCAGGGACGTGGTTCCTTTTAGAGCTCAAAAAGGGAGTTAAACTGCAAAAGGAAGTCTGTGGGCAGCTCCTTTGGGGTTTTCCCTGCTTCCACAGGGCATTTCACCTCTGATGGGGTGGTATAATAATAATAACAACAACAACAACAACAACAACAACAACAACAATAATAATAATAATAATAATAATAATAATTATTATTATTATTATTATTATTTTATTTGTTTATTATTATTGTTATTATCGTTATCATTATTGTTATTATGACTTGTTATTACTGTTATTATTATCATCATCATTAGCATCATTATCATCATCATTATGTTTGGGTTTTATTATTATTTATTATTTTTCTCATTATTATTATCATAGTAATAATAATAGTAATAATAATTATAGTTATGATTATTGTTGTTTATTATTATTTGTTATATATTATAATCATTATCATTATTATTATTATTATGGGGTTTTTTACTATTATTATTATTACAATCATCATTATCATCATTATTATGTTTTTAAATTATTATTCATTATTTTTATTATCTGTGGGCAGCTCCTTTGGGGTTTTCCCTGCTTCCACAGGGCATTTCACCTCTGATGGAGTGATGATATTATTACTATTACTATTACTATTACTATTACTATTACTATTACTATTACTATTACTATTACTATTTTATTATTTGTTTATTATTATTGTTATTATCGTTATCATTATTGTTATTATGACTTGTTATTACTGTTATTATTATCATCATCATTAGCATCATTATCATCATCATTATGTTTGGGTTTTATTATTATTTATTATTTTTCTCATTATTATTATCATAGTAATAATAATAGTAATAATAATTATAGTTATGATTATTGTTGTTTATTATTATTTGTTATATATTATAATCATTATCATTATTATTATTATTATGGGGTTTTTTACTATTATTATTATTACAATCATCATTATCATCATTATTATGTTTTTAAATTATTATTCATTATTTTTATTATAATAACAACAACAAAACAACAATAACAGTAATAACAATAAATTATTATTATTATTATTATTATTATTATTATTATTATTATTATTATTATTATTATTATTATTATTATTATTATTATTATTATTATTATTATTATTATTATTATTATTATTATTATTATTATTATTATTATTATTATTATTATTGTTGTTGTTGTTGTTATTATTATTATACCACCCCATCAGAGGTGAAATGCCCTGTGGAAGCAGGGAAAACCCCAAAGGAGCTGCCCACAGACTTCCTTATTATAATAATAATAAATAATAACAATTAATTATTATTATTATATATAATATATATATTATATATATAACAATATATATATAATATTGTAATAACAATAAATTATTATTATTATTATTATTATTATTATTATTATTATTATTATTGTTGTTGTTGTTGTTATTATTATTGTTGTTGTTGTTGTTGTTGTTGTTGTTATTATTATTATTATTATTATCATCATCATTATTATCATTATTATCATTATTATTATTCCCTGGATTTTGGGGGTCAGGGTGCAGGCACCCCATGGCCGCACACCTGGCTGGACAATTTTCCTGAATTATGTCACCCCCAACCTCCCCTTTTTCTGGGCTGCCCCTTTTGCCCGGCTTTGGAACATTTTGGGGCAATAAATGAGTTTCTCCCGATTTTCCTTTGTAATTTGGCTGCCCCAGCCCCCCTGTGGGGCTTTCCAGGTGTGACCCTTGTGGATTTGGGGGGTTTTGGGGTGACCTCTCACCCCCGCCTCAGCTTCTCCGTCTGTGAATGCCATAAAACAGTAAAAAACATCAAATTTAGAGGGAAGGAAGGATTTGAGGGGAATTATTTTTATATTAAACCCTGCTGAGGTTTATCTCATCCTTGGGATTTCTCATCTGGGCAAACTCCATTTTCCACCCATTTTGGACCCATCTCTGCCTCATCAACACTTAATTAAGGTGGAAATTAAATCCACATGGGGACTGGGAGCATCCTAAATATCCTTCTCTCACCTTTTCCCCCTCTTTCTTTATTTTTTAACATTTTTATTATTATTTTATGTGTTTTATGCCTTCCCTCCATCTGTTGCTCCTCCCTGCCTGCCCTCACCACCATCTGCATAAATTATTTGTCGCATTAAATGCCAAAAATACCCCAAAAAAGTGTGAAAAGCTGCCTTTTCCTCCATCTCTGGGGGGATCTTGGGGCTCCCAGGTTTTTGGGGAGCGCGGGAGCAGCCAGAGCTCAGCACGGGAACATCTCCAGTGTTTTGTGTCTCTCCAGGCCAAACCCAGGGACCCCGAAACTCGGAGGAGCCCCGGGAGCTGGAGCCCCAAAACCAGGAGGGGCAGAATCCTGGAGAGCCGGAGCCCAGAGACCCCAAAACCCGGAGAGACAGAGACCCCAAAACCAGAGAGCCAGAGCCCAGAGACCCCAAAACCCCAAGAGCCAGAGCACAGAGACCCCAAAACCTGGAGAGACAGAAACCCCAAAACCCGGAGAACCAGAACCCAGAGACTCCAAAACCCAGAGAGCTGGAGAACAGACACCCCAAATCCTGCAGAGCCAGAGCCCACGGACCCTAAAACCAGGAGAGCTGGAGAACAGAGACCCCAAAACCAGGGAGCTGGAGCCTAGAGACCCAAAACCCGGAGAGCCAGAGACCCCAAAACTTGTACAGCCGGAGCCGAGACACCCCAAAACCAGAGAGCCAGGGCTCAGAGACTCAAAAAACCCGGAGAGTGGGAGCCCATTCCTGGGAGCTGCAGCCAGGACAGCAGAGCCGGAGCTCCCTGGGGCCTGGGAGCCCTGAAAGGCAGAGACCCCCAGAGCCCCCAGCCCAGCCCGGGGGGCAGGACCCCCGCCCAGCCCCGTGTGCAGCCGGGAGGGTCCCTCAGCCCAGGAGGAGCAGTGGGTGAGTTCTGGGACCCCCAGAAGCCATGGCATTCCCTCCCTTCCCCCTTTGCCCTTCCCTGTCGGGAGGAGTGGGGGCCGGGAGGGGGTGGTCCCACCTGGGACAGGTAGGAGCAGAAGCTTTTCCAGCCTCGGGTGGAAGCAGAAGCTGCCACAGGACTTTGGGGTGTTCCCCCAGCTCCCTGGCAGCTCTCTGGGGCAGGTGAACCCACCTGGGGGGTGGGTCCAGAGCCCTCCCCCTCCCTGTGACTCCTGTCACCTGCTGACAGAAGTGTCCCCAACAGTTTGGGTCCCCTCAGGGACCACCAGGGGTTTGGGAGGTGTCACCTGGAGATTTGGGGACGCTCTTTGGGCTTTCACCTGGCCCATCCCTGGCTTTTAGGGGTTCAGAGGGGACAGGGGCTGAGAGGAATCCCCCCGGGGACCCCCAGGCCCCGTTGGTGACAGCCCCTCCGTGTCCCCCGCTGCAGCATGTGGCAGGTGTGACCCTGCCCACCTGTGCCAGGTCACCATGGAGCCGGGCCCGGGGCAGCCCCAGGAGGCCCTGCTGACGGTCAACGAGCAGGTACGGCCACCCCAACCCCAAACCGGGCTGGGGAGGGACCCCAAAACCGGCCTGGGGGTGGGGGACCCCAAAACCGGGCTGGGGGTGGGACCCCAAAACCGGGCTGGGGAGAAACCCCAAAACCGGGCTGGGGAGGGACCCCAAAACCGGGCTGGGGTGGGGACCCCAAAACCGGACTGGGGAGAAACCCCAAAACCGGCCTGGGGGTGGGGGACCCCAAAAGCGGGCCGGGGAGGGACCCCAAAACCAGCCAGGAGTGAGACCCCAAAACCGGCCAGGGGTGGGACCCCAAAACCGGGCTGGGGGTGGGATCCGCACCCCAAAACCGGGCTGGGGGTGGGGGACCCCAAAACCAGGCCTGGACTGGAACCCCCACCCCAAAACCAGGGCAGGGAGGAACCCCAAAACCGGGCTGGGGGTGGGACCCCAAAACTGGGCTGGGAGTGGGATCCCCACCCCAAAACTGGGCCAGGGATCCTGACCTCAAAACCAGGCCAGGGATGGGATCCCAAAATTGGGCCGGGGTGGAACCCCAAAACCAGCTGGGGGTGGGACCCCAAAACCAGGCCAAGGGTGGGATCCCCACCCCAAAACCAGCTGGGGATGGGACCCCAAAACCAGGCCTGGAACCCCCATCCCAAAACCGGGCCTGGACTGAGACCCCAAAACCGGGCTGGGGGTGGGACCGCCACGCTGAAACCTATCTGGGGAGTGGGACCCCAAAACCAGGCCAGGAGTGGGATCTCCACCCCAAAACCAGGCCCAGAGTGAGACCCCAAAACTGGGCTGGGGGTGTCAGTTTCTGGGGATGAGAACCCCAGTTAATCCCCAGGGATCAGTACCCCAATCAATCCCCGGGGTCAGAACCCAAATCAGTCCCTGGGGATCAGAACCCAAATTCCCAGGGATCAGAATCCCAATTCCAGGGGGTCAGAACCCCAATCAGTCCCTGGGGGTCAGAACCCCAATTCCCAGGGATCAGAACCCCAATTCCCAGGGATCAGAACTCCAGTCAATCCCTGGGGATCAGAACCCCAATTCCTAGAGATCAGAACCCAAATCCCCGGGGATCAGAACCCCAATCAGTCCCTGGGGATCAGAACCCCAATTCCCAGGGATCAGAACTCCAGTCAATCCCTGGGGCAGGGAGCAATGTGTGAAAAACACGGTCACTGTCCTGTGAAAATGTGAAAAGTTTTATAAAGGACAATAGGAGACAATAGGAGACAATAAAGGACCACAGAGCAAAGGTTATGTGAAAAACAGATTACTCTCCTGTGAAAATGTAAAAAGTTGAATAAAGGACAATAGGAGACAAGGACCACAGAGCAGAGGTGTGAAAAACACTTTCACTGTCCAGTGAACATGTAAAAGTTGAATAAAGGACAAAGGAGACAAGGAGCACAGGGCAAAGGTGTGAAAAACACACTCACTGTCCTTTGAACATGTAAAAAGTTTTATAGAGGACAGTAGGAGACAAGGAGCACAGAGCAGAGGTTATGTAAAAATCACTTTCACTCTCCTGTGAACATTTAAAAGTTGAATAAAGGACAGTAGCAGACGGGGAGCACAGAGCAGAGGTTGCTGTGGCATCAGCCAAGAGCACCCCGTTATCTTCGGGGATGCCCCTTAAATGCCTTTCCCCTCCCATCAGCTCTTTGCACATTCATAACCCTCATGCATATGCACAACCTACTTTGCATATCCCAGCAGCTATTTTGCATGGCCCCTCCTCGGGGCTGCCTTTTCAGAGCGGGCAGTTTCCTGGCTTGGTTTTGGCTCCTCTTTGTCACTTCCATTTTTTGGGTCCTGGCCCTGGCTGCCTCCCGAGGTGAGTGCTGCTGGCTGGCAGAGCTGTGCAGTGTGCCCATCCCGTGTTATCCCATCCCAGCAGGCATTTAGCACAAACACACGATATCAGCTATTGCACTGAGCCCAGTGAGCCACAAAAATACAAACTGTGTCTTTATAGCAAAGGTACTTTAACACCTCACACGTAAAACCCGTTTCGATGTTTGCAAAAAGCCAATGTTATAATGTGTATAGATATAGATACAGCACTATAGATATGGTGTTAGATAGATCTAACACTATAATTATATATAATATAATTATATCTATTCATCTGTAACACTGGGTGGGGCTGATCTTCACCGAGGGGAGAGGAGGAGGAAGGAGAGGAGGGAGGGAAGAGGCCAGAGATGCCCCAGGGCTGCAGGAATCTTTAAAAACACAAACCAGGGAGCAATGACAATTCCATTCCCACTCACCACGAGGCCCAAAGACAGGAAAACCAAAAGCCTGGGGTCCATCCTTGGAACCTTCATAATAATTTCAATAATAATAATTGTGCTGAAAATGAAGGATGAACAAATTTTAAACTTCTTCAGCTTGCTCTGCACATACTTAGTGTGTTGGTACAATTTTTAAATTAGCATTAAAAGTTGTTCAACAAAATCATTAATATGATACCTGCACAGGTTTTGGCCCAGTTATTTTAGTAGTTTGGAGTTTAGACAGGTATGTAAGATGTCCTCTACAGTTCAGGAGCCTCAGAAAATCGAAGGATGAAGGAAACCACAGCCTAAACATTTCTTAATACAGTTCATCAGCTTTTGTGGCCTTAGGTTTTTGTCAAATGGGACAATAACTTTTCTAGGTGTGAAATCCTGCTTTGGGGGTACTCAGAACCTGCCTGGACTCTGCTCCAGGTGGGGCTGCTCTAGCGGGGGATGGGCTGTGATCTGCAGAGGTGCCCACCCGTGCTGGGGTCCTGTGGGGAAACGGGGACAAAAACCCTTTGTGGGAGGGAGAGGAACATGAGGAACTGATGCTGCTGGACAGCTCAAAATATTGATCCTGTTGGGCAGCTCAAAATGTTGATCCTGTTGGACAGGAGATCAAAATATTGATCCTGCTGGACAGCTCAAAATATTGATCCTGTTGGACAGCTCAAAATATTGATCCTGTTGGACAGCTCAAAATATTGATCCTGTTGGACAGCTCAAAATATTGATCCTGTTGGACAGCTCAAAATATTGATCCTGTTGGACAGAATATCAAAATATTGATTCTGTTGGACAGAATATCAAAATATTGATCCTGTTGGACAGCTCAAAATATTGATTTTGTTGGACAGAATATCAAAATATCGATCCCATTGGACAGCTCAAAATATTGATTTTGTTGGACAGAATATCAAAATATCGATCCCATTGGACAGCTCAAAATATTGATTTTGTTGGACAGAATATCAAAATATCGATCCCATTGGACAGCTCAAAATATTGATTTTGTTGGACAGAATATTAAACTATTGATCCTGTTGGACAGCTCAGGAGTGCTGACTGATCCATTAGTGATTCAGGATACCTTTGTTCATCACCTTTCCAGCCTGTCTGAGCCTGCTCTGCTCCCCCTGCAGGGCTGCTGGCCTGTCCCTGGTGCCACAGCCCTGCCCTGCAGTCCCATTTAACCCCTCACACTCCAGGCTCCTGGCACAGCACACCCAGAGCATCCTGCTCCTGCAGGGCCAGGCCTGGGAGCTGCTGGGCTGGGTTTAATTCCCCCAGGCACAGCTCAGTGTTTAGAGACAGATACAGACCAGGGGATGTTTCCAGAATAAATCTCCTGAAGATAATGTGTTCTCCAGCACTGGAGACACTTCCAATGCCAGAGAACTTCCAGATGCTTCCAGCTCCTGGCAGGATTCCCTGGGTTCCATGCATGGTTGGGATCCATCCCTTCCCCGCACCTCCTGTTCTGTGCTGAGGTGAAGTAAAGCCACAAACCCTGCCAGGACACCTGGTGGGAACCCCAGCATTCCCTTGGATCCAGCCCCATCACAGCTGGGAAGGAATTTGCCACGGCTGCTCCTCCCTGCCTGCCCTCACCACCATCTGTATAAATTATTTGTCGCATTAAATGCCAAAAAATACCCCAAAAAGTGTGAAAATTGGGATATGTGATAGGGAGAGGATCTGGAGCTGGATGCCCACCTGCATCCAGCCTGGAATCACAAATGTCTGATTAATTGGCTCGTTAATTAGTCTTCCCTCCCGGGTTATTTGTGTCTCCTCCCAGCAGCAGCAGGGAGAGAATTTTGAGGATTTTGGGGATCCTGTGCCCTGCTGAGCCTTTTGCTGCTCCAGTGGAACTGGAATAAATCCAGTTTGGCTGCCTGGCTGTGCTGGGCTGGCTGGGGATGGGTCATGAGGACGTTCTGGTGTCCCCAGAGTCCCACAAAACCCCATCTGGACATGCCCAAACTCCTCCTCATGGAATATTTGCCTGGGGAGGGATCCAGGTCACCTCAGGGAGCTTCCTGTGCCTTTTCCTTGGAACTTTAACACCTCACACGTAAAACCCATTTCGATGTTTGCAAAAAGCCAATGTTATAATGTGTATAGATATAGATACAGCACTATAGATATGGTGTTAGATAGATCTAACACTATAATTATATATAATATAATTATATCTATTCATCTGTAACACTGGGTGGGGCTGATCTTCACCGAGGGAAGAGGAGGAGGAAGGAGAGGAGGGAGGGAAGAGGCCAGAGATGCCCCAGGGCTGCAGGAATCTTTAAAAACACAAACCAGGGAGCAATGACAATTCCATTCCCACTCACCACGAGGCCCAAAGACAGGAAAACCAAAAGCCTGGGGTCCATCCTTGGAACCTTCATAATAATTTCAATAATAATAATTGTGCTGAAAATGAAGGATGAACAAATTTTAAACTTCTTCAGCTTGCTCTGCACATACTTAGTGTGTTGGTACAATTTTTAAATTAGCATTAAAAGTTGTTCAACAAAATCATTAATATGATACCTGCACAGGTTTTGGCCCAGTTATTTTAGTAGTTTGGAGTTTAGACAGGTATGTAAGATGTCCTCTACAGTTCAGGAGCCTCAGAAAATCGAAGGATGAAGGAAACCACAGCCTAAACATTTCTTAATACAGTTCATCAGCTTTTGTGGCCTTAGGTTTTTGTCA